TAGTGATTGGAATCATCCTTTTAATATTTTAGAGCTTCACATCATTCAGGGTGGGGGGTTGTATGAGAAAAGAATTAGCACTTGGTTTTTCGTTGATACCGTGCAATGAGTCGGGGATTTGATGTGGAAAAACATTATTATGGGGGGATAATGTCATTTTCCCTTTCTTTTAACTAAAAATGTGTCATGTTATCTTATGTTGAAAGTTTTCATTTGCAAATTTTTTATTGTTGTCTGCATTTATCCTGATGAAAGTTCTTCTAAATCTGCATGAATTGCATGTTATATACTGATTTATTAACTGCTTTTGAAAGTATGTATATCTGGTAATAGTGATTGGAATCATCCTTTTAATATTTTAGAGCTGCACATCATTCAGGGTGGTGGACCATACTATCTCATTGGCCGTGCCCTAGGTCCTGAAGTTGGTGTTAGCATTGGCTTGTGCTTCTTCCTTGGCAATGCAGTTGCTGGTTCTATGTAAGGATTTGGTACCCTGCAATGCTGGATCTGAATAGTTCCTATTGTAGATTATCTATTTGAATTTAATTTACTTTTATTTGTGGGATGAAGTTTATGATATCTTATATTTGGACTTACAATGTGCTGTAATTCTTGCTATGCATGACTTTACTTTGCTCTTTGGTTTTGCACACGTGGTTAATGATGACGATTTAAATGATTGCTGCGAGATTGTCATTAATGAGAATAAGTAGTTTTGCTCTTTGGTTTTGCACACTTGGTTAATGATGACAATTTCAATGATTTCTGCGAGATTTGTCATTAATGAGAATAAGTAGTTTTGCCATGTCTCTAAATCTGTTGACAAGCTCATGTTTTGGTTGAATACTTTACAGCCTGGTTAGTTTCTAAACGTCAAATTGGTCATGCATTCTATCCTAAATTTTTTTTTCCCTCTCTTTGTGAATCTATTGGAGTCGCACCTTCCAATATCTAGATTGATTAGTCTATCAGAAACAAAAGGAAAAAAATGAAGAAAAAAAGTTGACATCTAAATTTGATTGTATAGTTTATTGTTTTGTGTGGCACAATCTATTGCTATGTCTAGTTAATTGAAATAAAAATTAAACTTATCAGAAGTATTATACTTTCATCTGAGCTCTTTAAGATTTATTGCGAAATTGTTTTGCTTCAAAGTTTCTTCCATGTTTCTGTCTTTCATTTTTATTTTTTCTTTCTAGGTATGTTTTGGGAGCTGTGGAGACTTTTCTAGATGCTGTGCCAGGTGCTGGAATTTTTAAAGGTAAGTATGAAAGCCGCATCAGTTGCACTTCTTGTGCCTTTATCTGTATGCATATGTTTGTTTAATTTGCTCAAAGGTGTAGAGTCCAATGCAGAAGCCCATTCTTGGATGTGTTCAAATGAGGCACAGGCGAGAGCCCTCGTCTTAGGTCTCAAGTTTCCAGAGTCGAAATGGAAAAACCTTATTGTTGAGGTGGACTATGCTAATGTGATTTTGGGGGAGTTGAAAGAAAGATAGTTCATGGAGGCTGCACCATGTGTTTGCACAAATATTTTGAACTAACCAGTAACTTAGAGGTCTCCTTTCTCCAGTCATGGAGGGAGGCAAATGAGGTACCTGATGCTCTTGCCAAAGAGGGAGTACAAAGACTTCCTCTGGAATGAGTTATCTAGATACTCAGCAAGATATACACAACGTGAGTTCTTATATTGTATTCAATTTTGTACAGGGTGTATACTTGTAAATCTATTTTGATCAATAAGGTTATTCATATAAAGAAAAGGTGTAGTGTCTAGTGTCTAAGTGTTGTGAGTTCCCTTATGTTTTCTTATTTGTTGTTGCTTCTTTATTTGGTCAGTAGTTGCTAGACTAGAACCTTGCACTTACTAGCTGTCCATCCCCAAAACTCATGGTCCTTGGTAGAGGTTCCCAGATGAATTGTCTTGAAAAAATCGCTTTCCATTCTCATAGATGTTCCCTAGGATAATCTGGTACAAATGTCAGTCTGTAGTATGAATATTTCAGAAATGAGTTTGTTAGTAGATCTAGATTTTGTAGCTGCCTTTTTATAGCTTAATTTTGATGGTTGCTCCCTTGGCAACCCAGGACCTTCAGGAATAGGGAGTCTTTTTCGATTGAGTGATGGATTTATGTTGATATCATACTCGAATCCTATTGGAGAAGCAGATTCCACTCTTGCTAAGGCCCTTGCCCTCTTGGAGGGCCTTCGCAAGTTTGACCACAACTGGAGTCACGACCTGGTGGTCAAAGAGACGCCAAGAATATCATCGTTTGAGCGTCTATTCGCTCATCATGGCCTTGGCGTCTTGACAACATTTTTGATGAGCTCTGACATTTAATCCATAGCTACATAATTTCTTGGTGCCACATCTATAGAGAAGCCAACTTAGATGCGGATCGATTGGCTAAGGAGGAGGCCTGTTCCAACTCCCCTTTGGGGGGCTTTTGTGTCCATACTTATCTTTCCCGTTTCCCAGAGTTGCTTTTCTCATTGTATTACCTTTTGGACCCTATCGGGCTTGTCTAGAGGGACCCTTTTGGGTCACCTTACTTTTTGTACAATCTACTATTCAATAATGCAATTATAGTGAATTTCTCTCAAAAAAAAAAATCTGTGAAATATTATGGATAGTTGAAAGCATAGTTATTTGTTATTGATCACTTAATCACTACCTTGTTCGAGTGGATCTTGGATATTGCGGTTGCAAACGTTGATTGGATTGATGCTTGGACCACACATTGGATTGGATTGGCCTTTTGGAATATTTTACCTGAACCATATCAATTCAGATAATCTAAAGCTGATGAGTTATTATTTAGATAAATTCAATTGGAATTGTTGAATTGGCTAATTTTCCAGTACAGATTGGAAAGGACATAAACTGTCTCTTGTTGATGTGATGCCTGCAATACTAGCAATAACTTCATTTCTGCTATAAAGCAGGTATAAGTAACCCATGTCATGATCCATATATTTCTCACAAAGAATTAGGTGCTTGAAGATGAAGTTCCATTTGGATCAAGGGATTGCTACATTCATCTTCAAGCTTCCTACACAGAACCTTTAGATATTAGAATGTCTGTTCTTTTTAAGTGTTTGATTTTGAATATACTGATGCCTTTGGTTTTCTTTAAAGAATGAGTTGTTTCTTTGAAGGATGGTTAAGTTAATTAAGAATGCAATAAACTGAGATTTCAAGGTTTCTTCTTTCCCCTTTGTGAGTTATTTCCCATCACTTATTCCTATTCAAATTCTGTTGCTCAATATTTGTATTTTACTTTTATTTTGCCATTTCCACTCGTGGATTTCTAAACAATAAAAATGAACTCAATTAGATTTTCTTGAATTTTTATTTCCATGAGATTTATATATATATATATATATATATATATATATATATATTTATTAGTAATATAGAATCAGCCGTATGTGTCATGGTTCTGGTACGAAACGACCTAA